TTATTTTTTAATGTTCCCACTCTCTTTTTAAAGTCTCGAACACGTTTTTCCTCTCAATCACTGGATTTGTGAGGGCTACAAGCTCATCCACCGCCCCCACAACAAAATCTTTTTTTCCCCCGTTAAAAACTAACAAATCAATCAAATTCCTCATCAAGTGATGGATCATTGCTTCAGATCCCTCGCACGATTCTCGATTTCCACCATTGTTCTTGCGATCATTCTTTCTTCATTCAGTTTCACTTGCACAGGTTTGAACTTCTTGTTTTGTTTTTGGTTTTTGAATTACTTGAGTTCGCGAAGCTTCTAATTGCGAGTTTAATGAAATTTGCTTCTAGGGTTTATTTGATAGAATTGATCTGAGTTTTTATATCAAGAAATTTTGTTCATTAACTAAATTAACTAATGGACATGCAAGATTTTGATTATCGGTGAATGAGGAAGTTGTTCTTTGATCAAATTGGTTTATGGGTTGCGAAATTTAGAAAAAAAGGTTTAATCTTTCCACTTGACTGACTTAGTTGACTAATGGATTTGAGAAATTTCAAAGTTTTATGAAATTGATGATAACTAATTGGTAAATTCAAGTGGGTGTTCTTTAATTTACGCCGAAATGGTTTCAGTTCTCATTTCTTCTTGACGATTGACTTCATCTGAAAGAAGAATGTAATCGATCATTTTTCTATATAAGATGGTTTCTATAAAATAAGATCAGTAAAGGTCAAGTGAAGTTTTCTAATAACATTCTAGCTTAGATTCTCAACTCTAATTTGTATATCTAATTCTAATCATATAAAAATCGTTGACCAAAGAATAACTTACTAATTACAAAATTTTTGGGGATTATCAAATCAAACCTTCTTCTTTTTTTACTTGCAGAAGCCTATGATGCACTTGACCCAAATGGAAATATCACAATCAAGTGGGACATTATTAGTTGGACTCCAGATGGCTATGTTGTAAGTATCATTAACTCAAATTCTCCCTCAGTTTAAGTTTCTTAATAAAAAAAATTGTATAGGGATTCAAGATTTATAGTATTATCAAATGATTTAATCTATGATTTAAAAATCAAGTTTTGGTTAAATACAAGAAATAGCAACATACTTCTGTTGATTTATATATTATAGCAACCCACTATTGTTTTTTCTTATTACAACATTGTACATCGAAAAATCAACCAAATTGTAACAATGTCATCTAAATACAAAGCAATTTCCACTAATATATTTGGGTAAAATTTTCAAAATATAATGTCACAACAAGAAAAAAAAAAAACTTGAAAATACAATGCTATAATTGGCTAGATTTTTCAATGTTGTAATATGACAAAACAAAAGTATGATGCTAATGCTATAACAAACAAATTCAAGAAACTACATTGCTATTTCTTACTTATAAACCTAAAGTTTTCCAAACACCTATATCCTATAGAGTAAATTACATGAATGGTTCCTATGGTTTGGGGTAATTTGCGCATTTGGTCCCTAACTTATTTTTTTAACTCGGAAGGTCCTAACTGTTTGTTTTTGTTACACGTTTGGTCCTTGTCTTACCTAAAAAGATTATTTTGCCCTTGATTTTTTAATTTATTTAAATAAACACACCTCAACCATACCTTACCTACCCCACCATTTTTCCCTAAATAAATAATAGTCTTTTTAGGTAAGATAGGGACCAAGTGTGTAACAAAAACAAACAGTAAGGACCAAGCGCGTAATAAAAACAAACAATAGGGACCTTCCGAGTTAAAAAAATAAGTTAGGGACCAATCGCGTAAATTATCCCAAACCATAGGGACCATTTGTGTAGTTTACTCTATCCTATATTAACAACAAAAATTCAAGGTAAGATGCACACTTCACATGGACATGTTATAATTTTCAATTTTCATGTATGAAATGTTCTTTAAATTTTGTAATTAGTTTAACAATTCCTATAGGCGGTTGTTACAATGTACAACTTCCAACAATACCGCCACATATCGCCGCCAGGGTGGACGTTAGGGTGGACATGGGCGAAAAAGGAGGTGATATGGAGCATGATGGGCGGTCAAGCCACCGAACAAGGAGACTGTTCAAGATACAAAACCACACCACCACATTGTTGCAAAAAGACCCCTTCAATTGTTGACTTATTACCCGGAACACCTTACAATCAACAAATTGCAAATTGTTGTAAAGGTGGAGTTATTAATTCGTGGGCCCAAGAGCCCAATAATTACGCGAGTTCCTTTCAACTTAGTGTTGGTGCGGCGGGGACCACTAACAAGACGGTTAAACCGCCTAAGAATTTTACTCTGCTTGCACCGGGTCCCGGGTATACGTGTGGGCCCGCTGTCGTTGGTAAACCATCAAAGTTTGTAACTCCGGATGGAAGACGAGTGACTCAAGCTATGAGTAAGTTTTCTTTTGATTGTTGTTGGAAAAAAGGTTAAATGCAAGAAATAGCAATGTATTTTGTTGATTTGTTTATGGGAAATCTCTGATAAAGCCCCAATATTTTGGGTCAGTTTACGGTTTAATCCCAATTTTTATCTTTTGAACAGAAAAGTCCCAAATATTTTATATTTTGCCCAAATTAACAAAACTTTTTTTCAACATAAAGGACAGATTATCGTATAAAATTAGATGATTGGGACTTTTCTGTTCAAAAAATAAATGTTGGGAGTAAACCATTAACTGACCAAAAATATTGGGACTTTATCGGAGATTTCCCTTTGTTTATTGTAGCATCCTGCTTTTGTTATTCATATTAAAGCATTATAATTTTGAAAAATCTATCCGATTATAGTAGTATCATTATATCATTCCTATATAAGCAAATTTTGGTTGTTATAATTGGATAGATTTTTCAAATTATAATGTGGTAATAAGAAAAAGATTGGAAGTATTATGCAATAATGAGGTGGATTTTTCAAAGTACAATGGCTTGATAAGAAAAAAAATTTGGAAGTGGAATGTTGTAATAGAAGGAAACAAAAGTAGGATGCCATATTACACAAATAAATGAAAGTACTTGGCTTTTTTTGTTTTTTTGCATTTAGTCGTTGGAAATTACAATTCTACCCTTAAAACTTAAAAGATTTCTAATTCTATACTCCCATTTCTTCATATTGGCTAATAATGCATTCTACTTTAGAAATCTACCCAATTATAACAATATCGTCTTGATACAAAGCAATTTTTCTCTTATGAAAAAAAGTTGATATTTTATTTGCTATAATTGGGTTGATACGATGCTATTTTTTTGCATTTAGCTTTTGTTGGAAATTACGATTCTACCCTTAAAAGATTTCTAATTTTATTACTTATGTTTTGGCAGTGACATGGAATGTTACATGCACATATTCACAATTTTTAGCTCAAAAAACTCCTACTTGTTGTGTCTCTCTTTCATCCTTCTACAATGATACGATTGTGCCATGCCCTACATGCACTTGTGGATGCCAAAACAATGACACTCATCCTGGAAGTTGTGTAAAGTAAGTATTCATTTCTTTTCTCTCATACATAAAACACAAAAAAAATCATTAGCTTCTCTTTTCTTTGAGTAAATTACCCGAATGGTCCCTATGGTTTGGGGTAATTTGCACATTTGGTCCCTAACTTATTTTTTTAACTCGGAAGGTCCCTACTGTTTGTTTTTGTTGCGTGCTTGGTCCCTATCTTACCTAAAAAGACTATTTTGCCCTTGATTATTTTAATTTATTTAAATAAATACACCCCCAATACCAATACCACTTCCACCTCACCTTACCTACCCCACCTTATTTAAATAAATTAAAAAATCAAGGGAAAAATAGTCTTTTTAGGTAAGACAGGGACCAAGCGTGCAACAAAAACAAACTGTAGGGACCTTTGGAGTTAAAAAAATAAGTTAGGGACCAAACGTGCAAATTACCCCAAACCATAAGGACCATTCGTGTAATTTACTCCTTTTCTTTTCAACAATATCATTGCTAAATCTTCTAATGTTTATATCTTTATCATCATCATCATCATCATCATCATCATCATATCAAATTTGATAATTTCTCTTCAAATTCTCAACTATTTTGCAGCCCAAACTCACCATATCTAGCTTCAGTTGTTAATGGACCTGGTAAGAACAGCTTAACACCTCTTGTTCAATGCACAAGACACATGTGTCCAATTCGTGTTCATTGGCATGTGAAACTTAACTACAAGGAGTATTGGCGTGTGAAAGTCACAATCACAAATTTCAATTTCAGAATGAATTATTCACAATGGAATTTAGTTGTTCAACATCCCAACTTTGATAACCTCACTCAAATTTTCAGCTTTAACTACAAGCCCTTAACCCCTTACTCTACTATAAGTAAGTAAATCATTCTCTTCATCTCTTTGATAACTTGTTATAAGTTATAAGTTTAACATGTATGTTGTGATACAGATGATACTGCTATGCTATGGGGAGTTAAATTCTACAATGATTTTCTTAATCAAGCGGGACCTTTGGGAAATGTTCAATCTGAATTACTTTTTAGAAAAGATAAAACTACTTTTACTTTCAAAGAGGGTTGGGCTTTTCCACGTAGGATTTATTTTAATGGAGATAATTGTGTTATGCCACCTCCTGATGCTTACCCGTATCTCCCAAATGCAACTTCTCGTGTAAATTTCTCTTTATTTGGTCTCTTGATGACATTTTTAGCGTTTTTCTTTCTCTTTGAGTAGGTAAAATCCATGCATCATTTTGTAGAGTGTTTGAATATATGAAATTGTAGTACACAATAATTTAAAACTTATGATTTTTTGTTCTTGGTTTGTAATTTAAACTTATATATCGTGGTGGTAATTATTGTTGCGTGAAATTGTGTATCTTAACAACATTTGTATATAATCTCTTGTGTTGTTACAAAACTTGAAGGACTAACAAAGTGGGAGATAAATTGTGTGGAGATTAAAAGAGTAAAAAAAATGAACAAAAAAATGAATTAACAACAATTGTATATAATCTCTTGTGTTGTTACAAAACTTGAAGGACTAACAAAGTTGGAGATAAATGGTGTGGAGATCAAAAGAGTAAGAACATGAAAAAAGAAATGAATAATGTTAAGGGAGCAATTAGGGTTTTGGGAGTTGAGTTTGGTAGAAATGGATATGATTCGGGTGGAGGTAGAATGCATTCATCACCATTGAAGTAGACTTTTCTAGGAAACGCCCATCCTTGTTTGAATGTGAATGTGTTTTGATCCTTTTGTAGTAGTACTTCGGATTGTACGTTTCCTGTGGGCCCGGCTTCCATTAGTAAGTCGTTGAAGAATTTCATTCCGTAGAACATACCCGTGTCATCTACATTGTAAAATTACAAAAATGTCCTTTAGCACATTGATTTCCAACTTAGCACTAACAAATATTTTTGGTCTTTGTGTTTTCTTAATAGTGATACCATCACCATCATTGTTCACATGATGGACATGTGGCATTACATGTTTATCCATGTGTTAATGTGGCATTGAGAATAAAAGATAGTCATCTCATTGCCACATTTGCACGCAAATACACATATGATTCCATATAGTCGTCCAATCAACAATTTTGTCAAGTTTTGATAGAATTGTTGATTGAATGGACAATTGTTCTACTTATGTATATGTATCATTGTGCTAATGTGACATTGAGAATAATACATAGTCAATTCATTGCCACATAGCAAGTAGATGCACAAGCAATGCCATATGATCGTGCAATCAACAAAAATTTCAGATTTTGACAAAATTGTTGATAGGATGGATATGTGACATTATACATGTATCCTTGTGTTGGTTTGGCCTCATGAATAAAAATCCATCTAATTACCACGTCATCACAAAAATACACAAGTAATGCCACATGTTCATTCTATTAACAATTTCTGTCAGCTTTTGCAACTTTTGATAGAATCATTAATTGGATGGACATGTAGCGTTACACAATTATCCTTGTGCCAACATGACATTGAAATGAAAAAGCCATTTCATACCCATGTCAATGCAAAGGAGTGCCACATGTTCGTCCAATCAGCAATCTGTTATTTTTTTGAAGCACCACTTACTTATAGACGCATACGGAACAAGGGGTTTGTAGTCAAAGCTAAAAACTTGAGTAACATTGTTGAGATTAGGATGTTGAACAACAAGCGTCCACTGCGTGTAGTTCATCCTATAATTGAAGTTTGTTACCGACACCTTTGCTCGCCAATAATCTTTGTAGTTTTGCTTTACGTGCCAATGAACCCTCACGGGACACATATGCCGAGTGCATTGAAGCAATGGTGAATTATCTTTTTTCGGTGTGTTTACTCCAACAACACTTAGAAGCTTAGATTCACTCCTACAATCATCATCAAAACCATTAGGTTATCAAAAGATTACAGAAACCCTAAGGCCTCTTTTGTCACATAGGACATAAAAAAAACTTGGTGGTACAACATTTTGCATGCATTAGTTTAGATTGGACATAAGATTGATGTCAATGACCACCCACAAAAGGTGCAAGACAGATTCGCTCTTGACATCTGTTTATGCAAAAGACATGAATGCCCTCTCCATCCTCATCATATAAAACAACACTAGTTAGAAGACTTGTCTAGTCATGTCCCATATAATAAAAGCAACGTAAATTACATTTAAGAAATGGTAATCTTACTTGACACATTTGTTCTTATTTTCACAACCACATGCACACGTAGGACAAGCCGTGATAGTTTCATTGTAGAACGATGAGAACGAAACACAACAACTCGGGTGTTTTGTAGCCAAAAATTGTGAATACGTACACGTCACATTCCACGTCACTGCATCAAACATACGCCACCCGTAAATCTTCGAGTCAAAGTCAAAGTCAAACTCAAAGTCAAACTCAAAGTCAAACTACATCCTATTCAAAACAATGAACACTTACTTAAGGCTTGAGTTTTTCTTCTTCGATCAGGAGTCAAGAAAGTAGTTGGAGGAACCACCTTTGCAGGTCCACATGTGTACCCGGGTCCAGGACCTAGAAGAGTGAAATTCTTCGGTAGTTTGACTGTCTTATTTGTGGTCCCCGCTAGCCCAACGCTGACCTGGAAGGCTGAGATTGCAGCTGACGGATCTTGACCCCATGCCGCCACAACACCGCCTTTGCAACAGTTTGCAATTTGTTGGTTGTAAGGGACTCCAGGTAGCAAGTCAACAACCGTAGGGGTCTTTTTGCAACAATGTGGAACATTGGCTTTGAACTTTGAACAGTCTCCTTGTTCGGTGGTTTGAGCCCCAACCATGGACCATATCACTTCTTTTTTAGCCCATGTCCACCCTAGGGTCCACCCTGGTGTCTGGATATGGCGATACATTTGGAAATTGTTCATTGTTACTGTTGCCTATAGTTAAAACATCAAGAATCTTCAAGTGATAATAAAAAAAATATCAAGAAAACAACAGTAATACACACGTCCCATAATATACTATGAAGTTTTCCAACATACGAAAAAAAACCAGCCCATGCTCATGGATCCATAATGGATGGGTGACTAAAGTGAAAAAAAAAAGATACAAACAATAAAGCTGAAAGTAAAGATGAAATTATCTAGAAAATATCAAGAATCTTAAAGCGAACATTAAGAATGTTCAAGAAACCATCAAGATGATATTTTTCATACCACATAACCATCTGGGGTCCAAGACATTATGTCCCATTTGATCGTTATGTTTCCAGTTGGATCAAGAGGATCAAAAGCAGCTGCAAAACGATCAAATCTGTTAGAAAAACTCACATTCTTGTAGCTTTATGAATTTGAAAACTCGTAATACGTACCTGAGAAAGAACATAACACAAGAAAAACACAAGCAGAGATGATAATTCTCATCTCAACTTCTCAGACTTCTCGTGTTTCTTGAAATTTCCTCAAAAGTTAAAGATTCGTATTCTGATATTGAGCAAGTTCACAGCTTTTCTGTTGGGGATGGGATGAGTGTGTTATAGAGCTTGAAGATCGATGGCTTACCTACTGGTTGTTAGATTTTGAAATATTTATATAATAGAATACATACACACACTAAAAACACATACATATATAGATGTGGACATGTGGATTGACATTCATTGTGTGAATTTTAAATTTGTCTGTTGGGGTTTCTGTTTCTTGAAGCAAAGACTTTCTGTGATCAGATGAAGCAAAGAAAATAGGAAAAAGAAAGCGGGAGCTATTATTCCCAACGGCCACCTGTTCTGTCAAGAATGTGACACTTAAACTGATCGCATTTTACTCAATCATCACTTGACTAGGACTTGTCCTTTTTTGTAATTGGAAGTTCGATTGGACTTCTAGACATGTGAGAAATGGGTATTGGTTTCGGGTTTTTGTTGACGATTTTGTGGGGTATAACCGTCATTTTCATATTAAATTCGATATGAACATGCTAAACCTAATTATAATATGATTAACAAGTTATATTAAAGATCGAGTAATTTAAATAGAACTCTCAAATATGAAAGATTGGGTAACGGACTGGATCGAAAAAAGACTTTGAAAAAATAGGACAATTCCGTGGCTGGTCTAAAAAAGACTGGATTGCAGACCAACACAAGATCGATCCAAGACCTAAGACCCTAGACCGGAAGGCAAGGTTTATATACATATCATTTTTGTGTTAATTACACATTTGTTAATCACAAAGTACCCAACTTCTCCCATTCTTTATTTTATTAAATTTTAGTGTATCGTTTTAATAAATCTTAATATATCATTTTGGTGTTGATCACACATTTGTTAACACTTAACAGAAAAACTCAAAGCCGAAACCAAAAAATACCAAAACCGAAACGAAAAACCACAAAATTCAACTGAAAAAGGTACCCGCAAAGAGCTGCGAGACCGGACGAAAAAGACCGAGACCAGTCCTAAGGGGGGAGGGTACCATGCACGGGTTTGGAAATATTTATGGGAGGTACCGCCGGTACCCCCAAGGAGCCGTTCCTTATTCAACAGTTTAATAGTTGTGGGTTGAATGGGTTTAATAAGCGGCTTCACTAACCCGATCCTCATTTTCAATTCAAGCAATAATCACTTGTGCATTATGCATCAAAACTTGTACCAAAACAATTTTATATGTTTTTTAATTATTTTCTAAATTAGTTTGTATATTTTTAATATTATGTAAATTAGTTTTGTATAATTTTTATTAGTTTGTGTTTATTTTAAAATAAAAAATTAAGTGAGTTGGGAAAGATAGGATTTTCATGTGTTGTGGGTTGAGAAAGATGGAAGAGAGATGAGAGAGAAATGCTGATGTGGCGTTGATATGACAGTGGGTTGAGTGAGTTGGGAGGGTAGGACTCCCTCCACCCTAAAAAGATCAAACCGAAAATGACTATACCAAAAGACCTGTACAAAGACTGTTCCGTGGCCAATCCCACAAAAATAGGATCGTTTCGAGACTGACCCAAGACCGGTCTGGAACCACCAATGTGCATCTTGCAACAAAGATTAACTAAACACTGCAAAATCAAAATGGAGGCTTGATTTCTAGTATAGCCCATTTTAATGGGCTTTTCTAAGAGCCAAAACCGAAGATCATCATTTCATCAATTAAGACGACTCAAACGGTTTGAGGCTAGAGATGCACATTGGTGCTCCCGGATAGGTACCGGGTCGGTTTGAAGCCGTCTTTTCTTTTTGGCTCTGGTCTCGGTCTTTTTTGGTCAGGTCTCATGGTCTTTTCGTGAGCCTTTTTCATTTCGGGTTTCATGTTTTTTCGGTTCGATATAGGTATTTTTGGTTTGATATAGGTATTTTTGGTTTAACAAATATGCGATAAATACCAAAATGATATATTAAGATTTATTAAAAATGATCAACTTTAAGTTTAATAAAAGAAAAAAAAAAGTTAGATAATGAGTGATTAAAAATTGTATAATTAACACAAATATGACATGTTTATAAACTTTGGCTGATCTTTTGTCGGTCTAGTCTTGATTTTTTTTTCGGGTTGGGTCCGAAACCGTTCATTTTGTGCATGTCTATTTGAGTCCATTTCTTTTTTTTTGTTCTTTTTTTTTTTTCAATTTTGTCCTATACGTGGAGTAGTCGAGAAGAATTGGTTTTATTTGGCTCCGACAAATCTAAAAAACATTACAACCAACACAAAGAACATTGTATTTTAAAAGAAAATTAAATTTCATACTTTTTCTCCCTCTCTTTTTCTATTTATAAGAGTAAAATTTGTTACAAATTAACTTTTTACTACTTTTCAAAAATATTTTACCAAAAACAGTCTAAGGGGGCCAACTGGGGACTAAATTTATTCAGGGCTGAGATTTTTTGACATATGCCTGAATGGGGACTAAATTTATTCAGGGCTGAGATTTTTTGGCATATGTCTGAATGGGGACCGGTTGCCTTGGACCGGTTTACGTATTTACCCTCCTCCAGAAGCCGATGGCCCAATCCAGAATCCTTTGTTAGCCTCTTCTTGTATACAAAATCTTTGGATATCAAAATAACGAAATATAAAACTAATATATGTAAAATAGACCTCATAAGAAAATATTATTTGTGAGCACCCACTAAAACTCAAAAATGATAAAATTGAAACAGTGGTGTTTGTAGTTAATTTATCATTTCTAAAATCTTTTTAACCAAGCAAATACTTTTGTAACATCCGGATTTCTAGGTATTATGTTTGATCATTTATTCTTTTGAGAAAAAGGGAGGGACTCGACGAGTTGAGGCGTAGACTCG